GTTTCAGACCAGCCAGCTTGCCCTTCATCTGGTTGCTCTAGCCATCTTTCCCTTCAGTTTGGGAGCTCTAGCAGAGAGGAAACTAAAAATCACTGAGCGCCTACCTATGGGCCAAGAACCAAGTCAGCAATTTCACTGTCCTAAGAATCCTGCGTTGCTCTTTAAAGAGCGAGGAACTGAAGCCCACGCAGCCCCTCGTGGCAGAGAAAAGCGTGAAGCCGGGCATCTCAGCAGCCGCAGCCTGTGCTCTTTCCGGACACAGCGACCTTCTCTTTACAAGACCATTTTTGCTGCACGTCTCACCCCTGCACCGAAGCCAAAATTCCCCCATTTGAACAGGATAAACATTCCCATGGCAAAGGAACGCTGTGTTCCCCAGAGGAGATGCAATCATGTTGTTGCTGCCGAGGCTGTAGGCTTATGAAATAGAACACTAGGTTGAGGGCCTGGATGGGGCTCCAGGGCAGCCAGCCCTCCCCTCCATCCCCTAGCTGTGCCCGGAGAGACAGTTGGAGTAGCAGAAGGAACCCAGGACATGAAACTGGGGCTAATCTAGACTGTGCAGGAAAGCAAACCACTGCTTTCCCTGGGGCTCTGCTTCCTGTGGCCGTCACAAGGCAGGGAGCCCGCTTCAGAAAGTGCAGAGTTACATCATGTGAGAAACGGATTCTTGTCTTGCTTTCCTGGGCCTTAATTTCTCCAGCCATAACTGGGAATATTGTCTGCTTGCAGGAGGGACTCAAAGATAGAGAAGAAAGTGCGTTTTTGGAGATGGCTCTGGAGAGCACTTCCCTTACGCAATCACTCATTCTTTCCGTAATTCATTGAATACTGATTGAGGACTTTGTGTGGTTCAGGGTGTCTGCCAGGCAATGCAAATACAGAAACCAACAAGACAACAGGTCCTGTTCTTAAAGGGCTCATAATGCATACACGCTTTTCTCATCAAAAGAAATATAAAAATGTTTGAAGTCTCATCGTCAGAAAATAATTCCTGAATGCTGTATACCCACTCTCAGCAGCTGTATACTTGAACCGCATCACTGAAACATCATGTTTCCTTGATTATAAAATACACATTGTTCTCATATTTTAACATTTCTTAAATCAGGATGCATCTTACCCTTTTGATTGGCAGCATTTTCTTCTTTCTTAGTGATCCACAAAACAATGATACATCTTACAGTTGACAACAATGAAAAGCATTTGGAAAAAAACGTTATTTTTCAATTGACACTTTCCATGGAATTCACAGCAATTGAATTTAACACAAGATCTTTGCAGAACATTTCTAGTTCATCTAGATGTATGGTGTCACACACAGCATGTGTCTACATATCTGATTGCCCCTCACTTTTTGTCTGAATGGCTTGGAAGGAATCTGATACCAACGGCCAGGATGCTGTATCACCTCTTGGCCACCAGAGGGAGAGAGTGCATCAGAGAGAGACAGGTTCTCGGGCTGCTGGTTTTCACGCTCCTAAACTTTTCAGGCAGTCTGAAACTCCCTGAAACTCCACCTGCAGGGTCAGAGTAGAGGAAAAGGCTCCCCTCCAGAGCGGAGGCAGCGTCAGAAAGAGGAGTTGATTGGATCTGAATGATGTTTGCAGACCCATGCTAAAAATCAGCCATGGTTTAAATGCTCTTCTCCTGGGAATAAGGAGAGATGATGGACATGGCCGAGTTCTGCCTGAAAATGTAGGGCTGGTGGGCGGCCCCACACCCTTCTTAAACCATTCAGGACTCGAGACCCACAGTGATTGTCAAGTTCTCCAAGGAACTATTCCTACTCTAGCAGTTACCGTAGCCTTTCATCCTTCCTTCCATCTTTCCTTCTTTCCCTCTCTTCCCTCCTTCCTTTCCTCCTTTCTTCCCTCATGTAAATATTTATTTACTGAACACCTACTGTGTGCCAGACACTGTGCTAGGAGCTGTGAGATACAGCAGCAAACAGAACAGAGAAGGTCATTGTCCTTATGAATATTAAGTTCAGCTGGAGAAATAGATACTATGCAAGTAAATATACAAATACGTCTATCATTGCTTGGTGTAAAAAACGCTATAAGGAAAAACACTGGGTCCCGTGAGAGCGTGTGATAGGAGGACGTGGTCAGGAGTGGATCTGGGAAGGCTTCTCTGGCAAGTGATAATTCAGACAAAGCCTGAAGAAGAGTAGGAATTGCCCAGGTAAAGAGCGAGGGAGAGCCTTCCAGGCAGAGGCACCAGCATTTGCAAAGGCCCTGAGGTGGAAAGCATTCAATGTCTTCCCGGTTCTAAAAGGAGGCCAGCAGGGAGCCCAGAGACAAGGGGCGACAGAAGCATCCGACCGACTGACTAAGGTATAACAGGAGCTCGGTGATGCAGAACCTTACATGCATGTCAAAGACATATTTTTCCACCTGTAGCCATTGAAGGGGTTTAAGCAGGGAACAGACATGACTGGAACTGAGCAATACTATGACCATTCTGACTGCCCTGTACAGTATGGCTTGGAAGAAAAATCTGAGAAGTAGGAGTGTCCAATTGGGAATTATTGGAGATGTGGCAGGAGGTGATGGCAGCTAAATGGTGACAGGGAACATGAAGATGTATTTTAGAGATAGATTTACTGGCTTTGGAGAGTGGAAGAGAAAGGGAGTATTAAGTTTGACTCCTGAGATTTCTGAAGGAGCAGCTTGGAAGGGGGAGGAGCTTTTACTGGGATGGGCACCTTTGAGGGGGGAGGACAGAATTTGGGAAAGGAACATTATGAGTTGTTTTGCATATTAATTTTAAGCTACTTCAGAATATTCACATGCAAGTGGTGTATAGATAATTAAATCTTTGAATCCAATGCTGAAAACTAGGCTTGAAATATTAGATTTGGGAGTCATAGGCATATAGATGGAAAATAAAGCCACGGTGAGAGTTGAGATCACCTGGCCAGGAGCGTTGGTAAAGCTAAGATGGCCCAGAACAGAGCCTTGCAGAACACCTGTATTTAGAGAAGGAGCCAGCCAGGGAGAGCATGAAGGAGCAGCGAGAGAGAGGATCAAGTGTAAAAGCTACAGAGAGGAGAGTGTGTCAACTCTATTGAATATCACTGAGCGATCTAGTTTGGTTTTGCCAATGTGGAGGTCTTACCGCCAGGGCAGTAGTATCAGAAATTACTCCTGGGGGGCAAAAGAGAGAAAGGGACGTGCCAAGTGTTCATCTGAGGATGGCAAGCACAAATTTAAAGTGACAGCAGTCTACCCAGTTATGCAATTTTTCTCTAGCAAAGTTCAGTTGCTTGATGAAAGCATGGAAAAGATGGAAGGTTGGGTTTAACCTGGCTGGTATTTCACCACACGAGCATGAGAGTGGGAAGGAGGAAGGAGTTAAAACAAGTAAAATGATGTGCCATGAAATCTAAGTTGGTTAAGGAAAGAAGGGAAGATAGGGGGCTGGTGGAGCTAAGGGATTGAAGGCCTCCAGGAGGTGAAAGGGCTGTGTCAGAGGGTGCACTTGAGCAGGTGAGCTGAAAGTCCGGGAGATGGTGACCAGAGGAGAAAATCAGAATTTTGAGTTTTCATAGTTTGTGTGATATCAAGTCCATGTGGTGACCATGGAAATCCGTGGCTGAAAAGAAGAGGTGGAGAGGGGCACAGGAGATGAGGAAGATGAGGGTCTGCAAAGTCAGAGAACAGAATGATGAGTTAATGTCAGCGAGGCCGATGTCAATGCCTGGATATTGAAGTTGCTGAAAATTATTGGAGCAGAGATGAAAGCGACCCTTAGGAGCCCCTAACATCTTCACTGAATGAGAGTGACCAGAAAGTCAGCAACCCATCAGAGAGCAATGAAAGAGATGGTAGAAGTCTCAAAGAAGAGGGATTTCTACACAAGCAAGGTGAGTGGCGATTTGGAAGCAACAGTGAAGAACAAGAATTCCTCTTGTTGAAAGTAGGAGAGGAAAGAGCCGAGGGAAATGGTACTAATGTAGGGAACTTCAACTCCTTTGGAAGAGAATTCTGCAATCCTTTAGCCATGTTTGCAATTGTATCTGTAAGGAATGATGGTACCCATGCTAGGGATCTGCAATCACTGTCCTATTGTGTCCTGAAACTCAGGGGAGGAAGCATGGAGCAATGGGGAAAACTCTAGACCGTATTGAGAGAAGACTGTGTGCAGGTCCAAAACCTCCTCTCGAAGAAACAATAAAGTAAATGAAAACATAACTGGGCTGGAGGAGGCAAGCTCTCCAAGAAGAACGGCTAAGATAAGTGATAGGAAGGAGAGAAGTAGAGGATTACCAGGGGGCAGCCAGACTAAACCAGGAAACAGAGGACCTTGGGCAGAGGTTGTTCCAAAAGCAAGTCATGGCATAAACCCTGGCCCTGGGAGTGAAGCGAACAGGAGTCCCACATGGAGGGGGAAAGACCTCCAGCCTGGTGCACCCAGCTTCCAGTAGAATATACCAGACCTTATTACTGTTCCTGGAGAAGGAAAAGGCAGAATGAGTTGGAAAGAGCACTGAGGGCAGAGGGGAGAGAAGGGAGGCTAGAGGTCAACTGTAAGCAATATAGGCTCCATGGCAATTAAGAAAACAAGTTTCTCTTAGACTCCCACTCAGTTGGGAGACCTGTTCTGTGTATACACATGAAAAGGAAAATATACATACAACTAACTAGCACAGTAAGATAGTACAATGAACAATATGAAAGGTAGAGAAAAAATATTCAGTGACCAGGAAAAAAAGAGACATCTATTCTAATTGGATGGTCAGGGAAATCTTTATAACACAAATGGGCTTTCTTCTGGACTTGGAAGAATGGGCCCATTTTGAAAGTAAGGTCACATGGGTGGAGGAATGGCCCCAGACCTCTCTGGCGGCACAAGCTACTGGAACAGTAGGTCCTGGTGTCAAGACAGACCTCCTGCCTCCTGAGGCCTCCATCTAGCCTCAGCCGAGTGAGTCCCTTTGGGTCCTATCCTGACTCACCTGTTCTTTCCCTTTCCTCTCAGCAGTTACGTAACTGATGAACGACTACCCGCTGAAGGAGATGTCTGACACTCACAGCAGCCCTCTGCTGGGAGAGCCTCTTTCCAGCAGATACAAACTCTACGAGTCAGAGTTTACCAGCACTAGCTGTCCCTCAAGCCCCCAGGATACACACCCAGCCCTGCCCCTCCTGGAAATGCCTGAAGAAAAGGTGAGGAATGTCCCCAGGATGCCTCCCAGGTTGGGAGATGGGAGGAAGGATGGCGAAAGATGCTGCTTTCCCAGCTTCCCAATGCATGTGTTACATAATGCCGTGGAGGGGCCACTGCCCAGGGAGATTCTGCCCTCAGTCAATACCTGGTTATACCCGTGATCAGTCCTACTTGGCCTTAGATAGAAAATGTGGCTCTGTGTGCAACATGGTTTTAAGGTCAAGTAGGGAATGCACACACTCACACACCAGTCTTCCAACCAGTCCCCAAAATCTTTCCCCTTAGACTTGCCCGCTTGAATTACCCTATTGTCCCCAAAAGAAAGGGGCCTTCTTTCAAATGTAGGCTCTCAGCACTCCTTGAACACAATAACACAGAGGTAGCCTGGCTATAGCTCTTGATACAGTGGAGAGGGGTACAAGACTGCTAAGATTTCTTTTTACTGAGATGTAATTCACATACCATAAAATTCACCCCTTTAAAGTATATATTTCACTAGTTTTCAACATATTTACAAAGTTGTGCAAACATCACCATTATCTAATTCCGGAATATTTTCATCACCTCAAAAAGAAACTCAGTACTTGTTAGCAGTCATTCCTCATTCCACCCTCTCCTCAGCCCCTGGCATCCACCAATCTTACTTTCTGTCCCTATGGATTTGTCTATTCTGTACATTTCATATAAATGGAATCATATAATATGTCGTCTTTTTTGATTGGCTTCTTTCATTTAGCATAATGTTTTCAAGTTCATCCATACTGTAGCATGAATCAGTACATCATTCCTTTTTATGACCAAATAATATTTCGTTGTATGAATCTACCATATTTTGTTTATCCATTCATCAGTTGATGGACATTTGGGTCTTTCTGCTTTTTGACTGTAATAAATAATGCTACTGTGAACATTTATATAGAAATTTTTGTGTGGACATATATTTTTATTTTTCTTGGGTATATACCTAGAAGTGGAATTTCTGGATCATATGGTAACTCTATGTTTGACATTTTAAGGAAGTGCCGAACTGTTTTCTAAAGCAGCTGCATCAGTGTATATTCTCACCAGCAATGTATGAGGCTCCAATTTCTCCAGATCCTTGCCAAAACTTGTTATTGTCTGTCTTTTTTATTATAGCCTAGGTGAATGTGAAGTGACATCTCATTGTGGTTGTTATTAGCATTTCCCTAATGACAAATGATGTCGAACATCTTTTCATGTGGTTATTGGCCACTTCTATATTTTCTTTGGAAAAAATATCCTTTCAAATCCTTTGCCCATTTTTTAATTAGGTTATTTGTCTTTTTATTGTGGAGTTATAAATAATTCTGTATATATTCTGGATTCTAGAACATTACCAGAAATACAATTTGCAAATTATTCCTCCCACTCTGTAGGTTGCCTTTTCGCTTTCTTGATAATGTCTTTAGAAATGCAAAATTTTTAATTTTGATTGAGTCCAATTTATCTGTTTTTTCTTTGGTTTCTTATACTTTCAGTGTCAAACCTAAGAAACAATTTTCTTGAGCAAAGTCATGAAGATTTATGCCAATGTTTTTATCTAAGAGTTTTATAGTTTTAGCACCTACTCCATTTAAGTATTTTATCCACTTTGAGTTAATTTTTTTTCATGTGGTATTAGGTAGGATCTAACTTCAATCTTTTACAAGTGGATATCCAGTTGTCCCAGAATCATTTGTTAAAAAGACTATTCTTTCTCCATTAAATTGTCTTGACATTGTTATCAAAAATCAATTGACCATATGTGTTTATAGGGTTTATTTCTGGACTCTCAATTCTATTTAACTGATTTTTATGTTTATCCTTATACTAGTACCACACCATCTTGACTACTGTAGTCTTGCAGCAAGTTTTGAAATCAAAAGGTGTGAGTCTTCCAACTTTGTTCTTTTTTTCACGACTGTTTTATCTATTCTGAAACACTTTCATTTCCACATGAATTTTATAATCTGATGTTCAATTTCTGCAAAGAAAAGGCAACTGGAATTTTTATAGGGATTGTTTTAAATCAATAGATAAATCTGGGGAGTATTGCCATCTTAAGATTAAGTTTTCCAAGCCTCTCCACTTATTTAGGTCTTTAATTTCTTTCAAGGATGTTTTGTAGTTTTTAGTGTACAACTCTTACAGCTCTTTTGTTAAATTTCTTCTAAAATATTTTATTCTTTTTCATGCTATGATAAGTAAATTGTTTTCTTTATTTTATTTTTGTATTATTCATTGCCAATATATAAAACAAAATTGGTTTTTGTATATTGATCTTCTATCCTGCAACCTTGCTTAATTCATCCATTAGCTCTAATAACTTTTTGTGGATTCCTTAAGAATTTTCTATATAAAAAGATGTGACATCTGTGAGTAGAGATAGTTTAAATTCTTTCTTTCCCATCTGGTTCCCTTTTGTTTCTTTTTCTTACCTAATTGCTCTAGCTGGAACTTGCAGTACAATGTTGAATAGAAGTGACAAGAGCAGACATCTTTGTCTTGTTCCTGATCTTAGGGGGAAAGCACCTCATCTTTCACCATTAAGTATGATATTGTGTGATATTAGCTGTGGGTTTTTAGTAGATATTCTTTATTAGGTTGAGGAATTTCCCTTTTATTCTTAGTTTGTTGAGTGTTTTTATCAGAAAGATCATTGAATTTTTCAAATTCTTCTTCTGTGTCTATTGAGATAATTATGTGATTTTTGTCCTTTATTCCTTTAGTATTAACATACATTGACTGATTTGTATATGTTGAACCTGTCTTGAATTCCTAGAATACATCTCACTTGGTCATAATTGTTTTTATTTGTTGCTGTATTTGTTTTGCTGGCATTTAGTTAAAGATTTTCGCATCTATATTTGTAAAGTATATTGATCTGTAGTTTTCTTTCTTGTCATGTCTTTGTCTGGTTGTGGTATCAGGGTAATACTACCTCAGAATGTATTAAGAAAGTTTCCCTTCTCTCCTACTTTTTGGAAGATATTGGTATTGATTCTTTAAATGTTTGGTATAATTCACCAGAGAAGCCATTTGGACTTGAGTTTTTCTGTGTGGGGAGTGTTTTTGTTATTATTATTAGTAATTCAATCTCTTAACTTGTTACAAATCAACCGAGATTCTCTATTTCTTCTTAAATCAGTTTTGGTGGTTTGTATCTTTCTAGGTATTGATCCAGTTCATCTAGATTATCTAGTTTGTTAGAAGACAATTATTCATTTCCTTATAATCCCTTTCCTTATAGTCTTTTTTATTTCTTTAAGGCTGGTAGTAATGTCTCCCCTTTCATTTCTGATTCTAGTAATTTCAATGTTCTCTTTTTTTCTTCTTGGCCAATCCAGCTAAAAGTTTCTCAATTTTGATCTTTTCAAAGAACCAACTTTTAGTTTCATTGATGTTCTCTATTGTTTTTCTATTCTCTATTTCATTTTATTCCACTTTAATCTTTATATTTCCTTCCTTCTATTTGCTTTGGGTTTAATTTGCTGTTTTTTTTTTTATTATCTTAAAGTGAAAGGTTAAGTTGTTGATTTGAGTTATTTCTCTTTTCTTTAGCATAGGCATTTACACCTATAAACTTTCCCCTCAGCACTGCTTTAGCTGTATCCCATAAGTTTTGGTATGTTGTGTTTTTGTTTTCATTCATTTCAAAGTACTTTCTAATTTCTCTTCTAATTTCCAATATGATCCATTGATTATTTAGGAGTGTGTTTAATTTTCTCATATTTCCCAAGTTTCCCTTCTGTTTTTGATTTCTAATTTCACTCTATTGTGGTCAGAGAACATACTTTGTATGATTTCAGTCCATTTAAATTTACTGATACTTTTTACCAGTAAATTTTTTAAATTATTTTATGGTCTAATATACGGTCTATATTACAGAAGATTCCATATGCACTAGAAAAGAATGTGTATTCTGCCGTTGTTGGATGGAGTGGTCTATAAATATCTACTAGATCTGGTTGGTTTATAATGTTGTTCAAGTCTTCTATTTCCTTGTTGATCTTCTGTCTAGTTATTCTATCCATTTTTGAAAGTTGAGTATGGAAGTTTCCAATTATTATTGTTGAATTGTCTTTTTCTCCCTTCAATTCTGCCAGTTTCTGTTTCATATATTTTGAGGCACATATTTGTTGCTAGGCAAATATGTGATTATAATTGGTATATCTTCTTAATGGATTGATCTTTTTTTATTATAAATTGTCTCTCCTATTCTATAGTAATTTTTTTCTTAAAGTCTATTTTGTTCTTCTTAGTATAGCCACTCCAGCTTTCTTTTGGGGGGTGGGGAGGTTACTGTTTGCATAATATACCTTTTCCAATCTTTACAATCTATTTGTATATTTAAATAGAAAGTAGGGGGTTAGTTTCTTTTTATTTTTATTTATTTTTGATTTTGGTAACACTGGCTTATAACATTATATAAATTTTGGTTATACATCATTATATTTCAATTTCTATGTAGATTACATCATGTTCACCACCCAAAGACTAATTCCAATCCATCACCACACACATGTGCCTAATCGTCTCCCTCCCTCCCCCTTCTCTCTGGTAAGCACCAGTCCAATATCTGTCTCTGTATGATTGTTTGTTGTTGTTTTCATCTTCTACTTGTGACTGAGATATTATGGTATTTTACTTTCTCCATCTGACTTATTTTGCTTAGCATAATACCCTCAAGTTCCATCCATGTTGCCAGAAATGGCCAGATTCCATCATTGTTTATGGCTGAGGAGTATTCCATTGTGTATATATACCACGTATTCTTTATCCATTCATCCCATGATGGGCACCTAGGTTGCTTCCAAGTCTTGGCTATTATGAACAATGCTGCAATTAACATAGGGGTGGTATATCTTTACACATTCGTCTTTTCACATTCTTTGGATAAATACCCAACAGTGGAATAGCTGGATTGTTTGTTAGTTCTATTCTTAATTTTTTGAGGAACCTCCATACTATTTTCCATAGTGGTTGCCAAAGTTTGCAG